GACTTGTTTGAGAAAATAATACAGAATAATAACTTAATACTCTACATTGAGATGGGAAAAGGTATTTTCTATCAAGTACACACATTACTTTGTCACATCAAATTAAAAAAAGCTTAAGATTTTAATGTTCATTGTTTCATCCTCCTCAATCACAAAAGGCACAGAATCTGTAGAATGACCCCATTACGGAACATTTCAAGAACTTTGAAAGTTTCTTCAAGTGCAGTCGCAAAAAACATCAGGCGCTATGATGAAACTGGCTCTCATGAGGACCGACACTGGAAAGGAAGACCCAGAGTTACCTCTGCTGCAAATCTCAACATCAACTGTTCAGAGGAGACTGCATGAATCAGGCCTTCATGGTTGAATTGCTACAAAGAAACCACTACTAAAGGACACCAATAATAAGAAGAGACCTGCTTGGGCCCAGAAACACGAGCAATGGACATTAGACTTGTGGAAATGTGTCCTTTGGTCTTTAGTCCAAATTTGAGATTTTTGGTTCCAACCTCCGTGGTTTTGTGAGACGCGGTGTGGGTGAACGGATTATCTCTGCATGTGTATTTCCCACCGTAAAGCATGGAGGAGGAGGTGTTATGGTGTGGGGGTGCTTTGCTGGTGACACTGTCTGTGATTTATTTAGAATTCAAGACATACTTAATCAGCATGGCTACCACAGCATTCTGCAGCGATACGCCATCCCATCTGGTTTGGGCTTAGTGGTACTATCATTTGTTTTTCAACAGGACAATGACCCAACACACCTCCAGGCTGTGTAAGGGCTATTTGACCAAGAAGGAGAGTGATGGAGTGCTGCATCAGATGACCTGGCCTCCACAAATGTTATTTCATAGTTTTAATGTCTTCACTATTATTCTGCAATGTTGAACATAGTAAAAATAAAGAAAAACCCTGGAATGAGTAGGTGTGTCCAAACTTTTGACTGGTACTGTATGTTAATTGCATACATAAATACATCTCTACCAATCCCACAGTAAAAGCACAATCATGGCCTTGGATTTGCAAGTGGCGGACATCTGTGAGAGGTCACTGTTATGTCTGAAATCGACCCAAAACCAATGAAGAAGTCTGCTGCAGTGTTGAGAGCACTGATGTATAATAATAACTAGAGACTGTGTCCAAGATGTCCGACCGTACATAGCCGCAGGAAGTAGATTGAAAAAAAAAAGCCTGCCCTGAAGATGTCTTTATCGGTCCGCTAATACAGGACTAGTAAAGGCCCAGTGCACTACTTTTGTGAATTGTTTTTTACTGAATGTATTTGTAGTTGAGTGTTTACCAGAAATTGTAACTTGAGTCTGATAGTTATCTTTACAAAACAGTTCATCTGATAATACTTATGGAATATAGAAATACTTCATTGATATATGTTTTCCAGTTTCTTTAAATACTTTGCAAATACAACTTATTTCTATGTGTAAACTGAAATGTAATATTTTTTTTATTTTTTTTTTGGGGGGGGGGTAGATCAGCTTAATATTGCAGATAGATTGTAACTTCCATCAATGTAATTGTCTGCATCACTTCCAATCCCCCATGTTTTATATATATATATACATATACACATACATATACATATATATATATATATATACACATATATACACATATATACACATACATACACACATACATATCCTTTAAAAATATATACAGTGGGGGAAAAAAGTATTTAGTCAGCCACCAATTGTGCAAGTTCTCCCACTTAAAAAAATGAGAGAGGCCTGTAATTTTCATCATAGGTACACGTCAACTATTACAGACAAAATGAGGAAAAAAATCCAGAAAATCACATTGTAGGATTTTTTATGAATTTATTTGCAAATTATGGTGGAAAATAAGTATTTGGTCAATAACAAAAGTTTCTCAATACTTTGTTATTTACCCTTTGTTGGCAATGACACAGGTCAAACATTTTCTGTAAGTCTTCACAAGGTTTTCACACACTGTTGCTGGTATTTTGGCCCATTCCTCCATGCAGATCTCCTCTAGAGCAGTGATGTTTTGGGGCTGTCGCTGGGCAACACGGACTTTCAACTCCCTCCAAAGATTTTCTATGGGGTTGAGATCTGGAGACTGGCTAGGCCACTCCAGGACCTTGAAATGCTTCTTACGAAGCCACTCCTTCGTTGCCCGGGAGGTGTGTTTGGGATCATTGTCATGCTGAAAGACCCAGCCACGTTTCATCGTCAATGCCCTTGCTGATGGAAGGAGGTTTTCACTCAAAATCTCACGATACATGGCCCCATTCATTCTTTCCTTTACACGGATCAGTCGTCCTGGTCCCTTTGCAGAAAAACAGCCCCAAAGCATGATGTTTCCACCCCCATGCTTCACAGTAGGTATGGTGTTCTTTGGATGCAACTCAGCATTCTTTGTCCTCCAAACACGACGAGTTGAGTTTTTACCAAAGAGTTCTATTTTGGTTTCATCTGACCATATGACATTCTCCCAATCCTCTTCTGGATCATCCAAATGCACTCTAGCAAACTTCAGACGGGCCTGGACATGTACTGGCTTAAGCAGGGGGACACGTCTGGCACTGCAGGATTTGAGTCCCTGGCGGCGTAGTGTGTTACTGATGGTAGGCTATGTTACTTTGGTCCCAGCTCTCTGCAGGTCATTCACTAGGTCTCCCCGTGTGGTTCTGGGATTTTTGCTCACCGTTCTTGTGATCATTTTGACCCCACGGTGTGAGATCTTGCGTGGAGCCCCAGATCGAGGGAGATTATCAGTGGTCTTGTATGTCTTCCATTTCCTAATAATTGCTCCCACAGTTGATTTCTTCAAACCAAGCTGCTTACCTATTGCAGATTCAGTCTTCCCAGCCTGGTGCAGGTCTACAATTTTGTTTCTGGTGTCCTTTGACAGCTCTTTGGTCTTGGCCATAGTGGAGTTTGGAGTGTGACTGTTTGAGGTTGGGGACAGGTGTCTTTTATACTGATAACAAGTTCAAACAGGTGCCATTAATACAGGTAAAGAGTGGAGGCAAGAGAAGCCTTTTAAAGAAGAAGATACAGGTCTGTGAGAGCCAGAAATCTTGCTTGTTTGTAGGTGACCAAATACTTATTTTCCACCATAATTTGCAAATAAATTCATTACAAATCCTACAATGTGATTTTCTGGATTTTATTTCTCAATTTGTCTGTCATAGTTGACGTGTACCTATGATGAAAATTACAGGCCTCTCTCATCTTTTTAAGTAGGAGAACTTGCACAATTGGTGGCTGACTAAATACTTTTTTCCCCCACTGTATATATATATTCCCCTATATTACTTTCCAACCGCGCCACCCTTTCCCTACTTGGAGTAAACTAGTGAACAACAATGCTTAGGCCTCTACTTCCAGCTTATACTTACTATCTACATTTGATCCTAATCTCAGAATCCGGTACCTTATATTAAATACTTTGTATCAACTCTCCATCTAAGTGTTAAATATCTTCTTGCATCCTGAATTCCTTGATACCAGAGAAACTCATCATAACAGCCCATAACATTACACCTTTTGAGGTAAATGTTTGAAGACAAGGTTTGGTTCTTTCTGGAATCCATTAGAATGACAATCACAGAGAAAGGGACATGGCAACAACTCTTACAATTCCAACTATTGAATACTGCAAGATATGGTTTTTAATGATACAACTACCTTTTTTGCCAAAGCAAAGATTCTGAAAAAAAATGTTTTGCCCGTGCTACAGACGTCTTTATTGGTTTGCTAATACTAGTAAACGCCCAGTGCACTACTTTTGTGAGAATATTTTTTTTATTCTGATTTTTCAGGGGGTGCCGCAGTACACTCAGAAGACACCGTGGGAGAATAAATTCAACCACACCTTTGTTTCATCACAAAACCGGAGAGCAACATCTGTCCGGTGAAGCCCAAAAAGCATTTTGCCTGTAACAAACAGTTATATGACCTACAGCATTGTCAAGTTAAAGTTTCCGACATTTTCGGACTGCTAAACAACGTAAGCTAAATATGATGATGATGATTAAAGTGTCTTATGATGATGATTAATGATGATGATTAAAGTGTCTTATTAGGAATGTTCCAATCTGACTTCTCTATGTGGCCATCTATGGATTGTCTTTGTGGGCCGGGCGTCAGTTAAACTGCAGTACCGAAGCAAAACTGTAGGAGCAGTCGAAACCGTGCTTCTATACCAGAACCCTGGTTGAGAGCTGTAGTATGAAATCATAGAGAATGATAGAGGCCTCTAGTGGCCAAAAGGCCATTTTAGCATGGGCAGCGCCATTGATAGCTTCCACAATTTTAAAGTAGTCAAAGTAGTCAACTGAGTGGGGATTCCTATGGGTTGTAGCGTCAATGGCGCTGCCCTTGCTTTCACTGATGCTACAATGGCACATATATAAAGATGAGTCGTCCCGTGTAGCTCAGTTGGTAGAGCATGGCGTTTGCAACGCCAGGGTTGTGGGTTCGTTTCCCACGGGGGACCAGTATGGAAGAAAAAAAATGTATGCACTAACTGTAAGTCGCTCTGGATAAGAGCGTCTGCCATATAACTAAAATGTAAAATGAGTCCTATCTATCTCTGTGTATGAAACCAATCGGTATTTTAAGCAAAGCAAAGTGCTTAACTGTGCCAGCCAGCTCTTAATTTCTATTCAGTTGGACTCGCCATAAATTCAGCATCTGAACTGTGTGCAAGTAACCTAACCTCTCCCATTTTATATAAGTATAATCATATGATATGACCTCTGCCTCACATTTTTTCATATGTGGGTGTCTGATCAAAGATTACACAACATCTGTCAGAGTGACAGTGCACATTCCTTTGTTTGCAAAAGTAGCCAATAAGGCTAGACTTTCCTCTAGATCAGCTTCCTCTACACCCAGATCAGCGTACACGTCAGCCTAATACAACCACAGCGCAGTTCATTACATTATTTAAACCGAAGTTGGGCTAAATTAACTAATTCCTTTACAGAAAGAAAGGTTTGGAGAGCAAAGGAAATGTCAAAAAAAGTGGCAGTAGTTACCGGTGCCAATAAAGGCATAGGACTTGCGATTGTGAGGGAGCTTTGCAAGGCAAAATTTTCCAGGGAGGTTATTCTTACTGCTCGAAATGAGAAACTTGGAAATGAGGCAGTGAAGATGCTGAAGTCCGAAGGATTTGAAGTTGCTTACCACCACCTTGATATCTGCGACCAGGGCAGCGCCAAGCAACTGAGTAACTTTCTGCAGAAGAGTTATGGGGGTTTGGATGTGCTCATTAACAACGCTGGAATGGCCTTTAAAAGTTCCGTACGGTAGCCTATTCTACTATTTTGGCGTCACTTGTCATACAATTGTTACTGTTTTAGCCGATTGTAACATTGAGGGGTTTCGTGTAGGTGTGTTTTGCACCGACTGGAAGTGGATTGCGTTCGATTTGGAACCGGGCTGCCTCCCGGGCATGAGCCAGGTGCCCGCTCCGTCCGACCGCGAAGTCTGCTCAAAACAAAAGTGACTTCATTAAGCACGTGTAGTAATTAATAGGATTCTATGTTTTTGCATGCTGTGGTGTCGAGAAAACTATGCTGAGATGCTGTGAGAACAAGAATTCCGCTGACACTGTACTTTGATTATAAAGGTTTATTGTATCAAAGTATTCCAGCGTCAATTTACAGATATCTGCCGATATCTGGAGAATAACCGGCTCCAATCTGTAATATGTTATTCTCCCCGTCCTCTATTTTAACCATGGTATTTATCCTATGCCCTATGTAACATAATATGGGTGTTTTCCCCTACAGACCAATCCCAGGACTCCACCTAATAGACTTCCTCGGCTTTAGGGTGCCCCTATAGAACTACTCTCCAGATGCTCCCTTAATCTTAGTCAACATCCTCTAAGACCATTTGTAACCATTAGCAAAGTCATAAATTCCTTAGATACCACATATTTCCCCCCTTCGAGACTAACGAAGTCTCGAAACCAAAAAGAATTGGTTTATGACAAATAACCATTTTTCTCTTATTGAGTAACTTTAACAATAAACCAAAAACACATTTTTCTATGGAGTGTAAATACATTTCTATGAAATATGAAAAAATCTCTATGGAGTGTGAGTAAATTTCTATGAAATATGAACAAATCTTTATGGAGTGTGAGAGCGAAAAACCTGTCTGGCAGCTTTCTTTCCAAATATCCATCAATCAATCAAGACAGTAAAATTCTCTCACGGCCCCTCTGCCCCAGGCAACCACCTAAGTACTCCAGATCAATTCATGAATCTTTATCAATGCATTTTAAACTATGATGCAATTAAATACACATGAAAGCCTCAGCAAACAAAATACAATCAAAAATGTCCACATTCAGGCTGGTCAACCCATCGGACCCTCCTGTGGATTCTCTCTATCCCTGCCTAGACCCAATATCCCTAAGCATCCACAAAATAAACAAAAAGACCTGAGATCCCCACATGTACCCAATAACAGCAAATATCATTCTTCAAAAATTAATACAGAAAGAATATGACACATTATGTATTACACATGCAAATATGTCTATATATCATTGCAGACACTGGAATGTAGTCCACTACACTGCATCTCCTCAGCAGTGTCGACTTCCAATGCAACTTCGATGATGGAATCTGAACCTTTCCACACCTTCCTTGTTCCACTTCCTCCAGTCCCTTCATATTTTCCCTTCATATTGTCCCTTCATATTGTCCCTTCATATTGTCCCTGTTTGAGTATTTGAATCTCCTCTACACATTCCCCCATATGCTTCTGTTTGAAAAGAAAAGACCAAACAGTATCTTTTGCAAAACAACACATTCAAATTAAACCATTTCCCCCCTTTGATTCATAACAAAATACTAACTATCACCATAATATTTAAAAACGTGAAAAATTCCAAATTGATATCTATCCATCAATACTCCTTTGAGTCTTGACAGAAGGTTAAACCCTCTTATTGTTTAATTTGCAAAACCCTTCAAAGTATAGGTAATATTATCTATGTTATATTCCCAAAATGTTACACCATACCATGGAAAAAGTCCCCACTTCTCTCCTAGACTTATCCTCCAATGGTAGGCTTCCCAGACTATTAAACTTCTCTCTTTCAGAATCAGATTTATCTCTTTCCCCGTGCTTCCCCTCTTTTAATTTTAAAAACCTCATATGGAAGCTTCAACTTCAACATCTAATAACATCCTATCCATCCATAGGGTAAGAATATATTCTTTCTCACCACAAACCCCTAAATATCTCTAAAATTCCCAATAGTCACATTACCATGCAAAACTTCTCTTTCCATCAAAGTCCTTCTCTTCTTACTAAATTCAACATCAAAGTTACATTATTTTTCTCATTACTAACCTTATGTTCATGCTTACCCCAAAGTCATCATATAATCATCACCATCTGATATTCCCCTAAACATCCTCTTTCCATCATATGTTTTATTTCAACAAAAACAGCTTTTAGCCCTCACTGGTTTCACCTCCAATGCTTCATGAAGCGCTGTTAACTGATTTTCCTTCCTATCTAACAAATTCACATAGGTTAATTCATTTAACCAATAACACTTAAACCTAGGCCTAAACAAATGCTTCCACAACTACATTATTATATCTGTTAATGATTGTTGCTGATACAACAGCCATAAAAAAGCATAAGATTTACACATACTTGATAGAGGTTAAGCTACCTTCTCTAAGATTCAACCCCATGTTCCTTGTGCTGGAATTCTCAACAGACATGGACCCTCAAGATTCCTCACTGATCTTACAGAATGAGTTAACTCCTTGAACCAAAGATTCCTACCTGCCCATCCATCTTTAATTTCCAAACAGAAGAATCAAATCCATATGCCTTCCATTTAGTTTCTCTCTTCCCTAACGACCAGTATTGATCAGATATATCTTCTTGCCTTCCATTAAAATCAAATAACTCATCCTGTACCTCCATGATAATATTTTCCCTAATCTTTCCCTCTAACATTACTCAAAATAAGTTAGCAATCACTCATAACCCTCTTCCACTTCATATCGTTGTACAAAATATACTTCCTTTCACTAGGTGAAACAGCTTCTACTTCTTATCCTCATAACAACACTTCTTCTCCAAAATTATCTCTCCACTTAACTCTACATTTCCCTCACCACTGTTCTCTCTCTCTTACTAACATTGAAGCTGAGCTGACTGTCCTAGAGTTCCTTCAACCCTAGTTTTCATAACTTTTTAGTCTGACTTTTCTCCTAACTTTTCAAAAACCATTTCACAGATTTATCCACAAATTCCTTTCCCTCTAATTTTTTCAAAGACCATTTCACTGATTTATCCACAAATTCCTTTCCCACTAATTTTAGGATATGTGATCCGGAAGTCCCCACCTGCTTATGACTTCTTTACACAAAAACTTGGCAAACGATTGAGCATCCTTTAGCTTAGTTTGACATCTTATTCCCCTCTTGGTATAGGAATGTAACCAAGAATAACAGTCACCCCCTGTAAACATTATTTTTCAGACAGATTGTCCACCTGCCTATGACATAGTCAATCTATTCAAACAAATATGGTTCCCAAAAAACCCTACTCCTTTATAATCTTTCTCCTAATCTCCCCCCTTGCAACATTAGCTAACCCCTAGCTTCCTAAATCATCAGACCTAATAGGTCCAGAGGCGCTACTATCAACCCCTCATGGTTTCTCCCAAGATAACAATTGATTGCTACTCTAAGGATTTTTTCTTGTCTTCAAAACACCTGCTTTTGAAAGTCCTTCAGTTCCCGGTCCAATCCCTTGGATTGCTTCATCTTTCAATGGATACTGATTCTTCCAAGGAGGTCTGCCTCCTCGTCGAAGTTCAACTTTCACCTCCATTGGGCTGATTTCACATATCCAATATCAGTACTACTTTGATATCACAAACATTCTTGAACTTTTTCAACATCTCCTCTTTCATAGATTCTCAATTCCTTCACACTTCAAATAGATTCATGTGTCATCCATACAGCTTATGACTCTCCTTGTTCTTGAGCCAAAATCATCATTTTCAGAAATCGCTGATCTTCACTCCTCCAAATCCCCCAATTCTCTTCCATCAGTACAAAAACAGCTTTCTCTGCTTCTGTCTTCATTTCTCCTATTTACTTCTGCTCATAGCCTTCAGAAACCAACTAGGTTACATGTTGCACACTCTTCTCAATCTCCAATTCTTTATCCAGATAATCATCTATGTTTATCTTCATAGCTGCTCCTTGTGGTCCTAAATTATTCAACATAAGCTGAGTTGAACTTTCTTTAGTTGATGACTCAACCATTCCTCTGAGTTCAATCAGGCAGCATTCTTGAAATACTTCAGCTGAGTTGAAATGGATATTCCAGAAGCCTCGCATCTGGCATATTCTTCCTTAAATTTCTTCCACATCTTAGCCTGCTTCAAAAAATCTTCACTGAGATTTCCAATCCAGAATACTATAGATTAATCCATCTCTGTCATCATTAACAATTGGTAAACCTTTTCCTTTGGCACTTCTACCAGACAGCCGTCTGGTGTACATCTTATTGTACAATTCAACTTCCACAATGCATCTCTTCCCAACAATGCAATAGGTTTATGTTCTGATACCAGTATAGGTATTGTAATTTTCATAGCAGAGCTCAATTGGTTCCTTAAGTGTAATCAACTGTTTCACTCCCTCAAATCCCTATCCTAATTAGTTGATTTGACATAGTGAGATGTGTAACCTCTTCAGGCTGAACACAGATAAAAGCCGTTCCGCTATCCATCATCACTTCCAATGGGCAGTTGTTTATTTTCACCTCAATTGTTGGATATTTTCCCCCTTAACTGGTGCTACCAGCTGACACCCCCCTTTTGCATCTTCTAGGCACCCCTAGAATCCTTGCTCCTTGCCCCTATAAGGGTTCACCTGTCCTCCAGATGATCTTCACTTGCTCCTGTATCTTCCTCTGAAATTCCCTCTTGTGTTTCCTTCTGGCCCATTACACTCACAGGCAAAGTCACCAACCTGTCCACAATCATAACACACTTCTAAAGATTGCTGGAAGTATGGCTTAAATCTTCCTCCTCTTCCTAAGCCTTCTCGTCCTCTTCCTCTCCAATTCTGTGTCTTTCCAGAAACTGGCTATGAATATAAAACAACTTGTACCACTAGTTGTGGCTGGTACAATTGCATTTGACCTTGTTCAGTTGAAGCTGTAGCAGTGATTGTTGATTTGGTGCACACTGATTCTTCATAACCAAAGCTTTTCTTCTCCTTCTTATTCTCCCCCAGTTGTATTTCATTAAGTTTTCTGAGAGTTTCTTGGTCCTGTTCTTTCTAGTTGTGTTCCTTCTTCCTGTACAGATCCACTTGATGGGCTATATAATCTCCATAGACACCTTTTGTCATGCTTCCAAGTCCAACCACCTCTGCCAGTTTGCTCCTTACTTGTGAGGGCAGTCCCATCTGCAATTTAGCTCTCAAATTTGACTTCTCAATTTGACTCACATCTGGATCATTTCCAATAATATTTCTCCACACTTGATGAACTCTTGACACATAGGCTCTCAGATTTTCTTGTTGACCTAGTGGGTCAATCAGAATGTTGTCAGAATGCACATTTGTTGGAAACGTATCTTTCAGTGCTCTCCACAGCCGATTTCTACTTGCAGCCAACAATTCAGGGTCATTCACTTCAGTCCCCACATATGTATTAAGTCCCGCTCTCTGAAATATTTCTTCCATATCTGGAATCCCAAGGAGATTAGCTAAAAGTATCTTAATGTCTCCTATGGCAGACTATGTTCCCACCATAATTTCTTCCAATTTTGAAATCCAAGGATATGCTCCATCTTGAAGAGTAGACAGCTTCTCAAGTATATCTGACATATCGGTATTCTTCAAAGGCTTATATTCTAGGTTCTGTCCTCGAAATATCATCTTGCATCATCTTCTTACTTGTGCTCTCTTTCCTTTCCTCAATGTATTATTCTTCTCCAATTCTTGGGATCCTTTTCTCAGCAGTTTTTTCTTCTCTTCTGTATCTTCAGCTTCTTGAGTTGTTCTTCCAGTTCTTACTTCTTCTAAATTATTCCCCTTATCCAGGCATGATACGCATCAGTCTATATCTCTTTCTATTTCTTCTGTGCTAATCATTGTAGGATAAAATCCTCTTGAACATAAAGCACCTTTCATCTCCAAATCTTCATCGCTTTCTCCATCTTCACTTTCATCAGAGATCGAATCTCTAGTATCCTTCTTCTTCCTTCAACTTCCATCACCCCTTCTTTCCTCTCTTGCCAACTTCCTTCTGATCACAGAGTCATATCCACCCATGATCTCTTCTCAATCACTCTGATCATCATCATCATCATCTTCAAGTTCCATCTTCCTGAATCTCACTCCATCCTTAGTTTCCAGACATCTCGTTTCTTCCTACTTTTGATTCATCTTTATGGTCGTTTCTGCTTCTCCTCTCTCTATTATTCAATCACTTTCATCATGTTGATGACGTCTTGTTTAAGAGTCCCTTCCACTGGCCATGGTTGTTCAATGTCAGGCCAACGTTTATTCCCTTTCCCAGATAACCTTGCAACACCATTAACTAAAGGATTACTATTTTCTACTACATCAACAGGAGTAATTACTTTCATAGTTTTTATGTCCTTTTTCCCCCTTGTAACAACTCTTTTATATTCCTTTATTGTTAATTATTTCATTATTTTAGACTATGTAGCCTATTGTTCCCTCTTTTTTTTTCTTCCCCATATTAATTAATTAATCAATTAATTTATTCATCAATTTATTTTATTTTATTTTACCAAATTATTGATTAGTGGCAATCTTACCACATCCGATCAGGAAAGTAAATGAAAGTAGTCACCTTAGAGCAATCCAAAAAATAAAGACTTCTAATCCAGCAACACTACAGCACTCACAAACCCATTGCTTAATAAGCACCCAATTACCTTAATTTTACAGAATAATGTCAGTGCTCGATTTCCCCCTCAACTCTAATCAAACCCACTCATGCACAAAAACTCCAAAATGCAATTCTTAATTACATCAATTGATCAGTCTGTTGCCAAGTCCTTGTCAAATTGTCATAACATCAAATATGCTAGGCACCCAAAATATCCTCTATGGGAAGGTACGTTTTGTGAATAGAACAGTACTAGCCTTGATTTGACTTGATCCGTTGCAGCACACTCTGTCGCATGATGCACTCGTCAGCACTTCCTCTCTCTCTCCTCCTTTTTATCGTCTCTCATATCACAGAAGAACAAAGAACAGACAATAATTTAGTATTTTATGCACTCACTGGGTATTTCAACCATTCAATATTCCTCTGTTCACATTCGCTCTAAGAAATAAGCAAACAACTTAACTCAGGAATAGTATAAATAGCTCAATAATTATTATTTTTTTCTTCTTCTTTTTTTAAATCCGTCAACATATCTCTCATTTATCAATTCAATAGATCTCAACAAATAGTTTCATCGTTAAGCAACAGCCGATTTAACAAACAGAACACTCTATTAGTGTCTAAATCTCCCCCTCTCTGTCTGCTCTGAGTATGCGTCTCCCAGCAGCTCAGTGCAGGCAGAGGAGTGGCACATTTGCTCTACGTAACTCTAAACTCATAAAATTACACGCATGCGTAGTTCATTCACCAATGCGATTTCAGAGTGGAGGGAGCTCTCTCCCAGCTCTCTCCAAGTCTAAACAACAGAAAGTAGACAGTCCCGCTGTACTTCCTCTCTTTCCCCTCATAGACAAACAGTAACACTTAACAGAGCTCACAAACCAACACAAAACACCGAACACAAATCCTACTCTCTTCTACACACACACACATACAGTTTAAGAGGCTTATTTCCGTTCCTATGGACCTCTAAGCATGCTACTACCATCGCGCCATTTTTTCCCCTTTGTTCCTAAATTTATGCTACCTCGAGTTCGCAGAAATTCAATGAGCGGTTACATCAAGCATATACTTCGTCAACTATAAGTTGAGCGGTAACTTGCAATCGAATGTATATACCACAACCCACAGTCCCCGGGACTGACCTAAACCCACCTAATGTGCTTTTAGGATTTTCGGCCCATCCTAATGATCGCCTCGTTTGAGGGCTAACATAGATTCGCGATGTTCTAATTTGTATACATTTTCCTTAGTTCCTGGCCTTTCCTTCATTGTATTCTTTTTTAATTTTATTCAAGCAAAATATCCCTATAGACACTCCCCCCTGTTTGCGTTGTTACCAGCGCAAACAAATTTAGAAATTTAGAACGGACTCTTATCCCACAGCAAATAACAGCAAAGCACACACGCAAGTTCTTAACGGTGCATTCATTCAACGCACACACACAGACACACGAACTAACCAGTGCCCAAAGTAGTAAGAAAACTCACCCTTTTCTGCCGGACTCTGGAGCGAGAGTCAGCTCGGCGCCCATGAATGGAACGCTGAGAAAAGACACTACACGACCAATACCTCGTCGCCATTATGTGGTGTCGAGAAATCTATGCTGAGATGCTGTGAGAACAAGAATTCCGCTGACACTGTACTTTGATTATAAAGGTTTATTGTATCAAAGTATTCCAGCGTCAATTTACAGATATCTGCCGATATCTGGAGAATAACCGGCTCCAATCTGTAATATGTTATTCTCCCCGTCCTCTGTTTTAACCGTGGTATTTATCCTATGCCCTATGTAACATAATATGGGTGTTTTCCCCTACAGACCAATCCCAGGACTCCACCTAATAGACTTCCTCGGCTTTAGGGTGCCCCTATAGAACTACTCTCCAAATGCTCCCTTAATCTTAGTCAATATCCTCTAAGACCATTTGCAACCGTTAGCAAAGTCATAAATTCCTTAGATACCACAATGCAAAAGTGATTGCTTTTGATAAAGATTATTTATCTGCCTTCCCAATTAAAAGTAGTTAGAAAATTCAAACATTTATTTTATGGAAAAGAGATGTATGTTTCTGGGTGATGCACCATGCTGCCTTGTTGACAAAGTGACAGTGGCGCAGATTACTGTTCAATTTGAGAACTGTGCTCCTCCCTACCCGCTTTCGCCTGGGCCAGTGTATAATAACTCCATCACAGTAGCCAGATAGTGAGAGGTTTGTGGGTTGATCTTGTGCCATGTTTAGCAACAATCAGCTGTTCAATTTAAACTGCCTAGCAATGATAGTAGGGCTAGTTGATTGCAACTTTTGTGTAACATGAGTTATGATCGTATGTAGCAGTGTGATTGCATTAGAAAATTATGCTCTGAAGATATGATGGGTGAGGGTGACCTATATTGACATAGGCCCCCTCCCCCACTCTCTCCCCCTCTCTCTTGTTGTAGAAAGCAATAATTGATCATCACATTTTTTCCCTAGATGATGCAACTGAGCCTTTTGGAGAACAGGCTGAGGTGACCATGCGCACCAACTTTTTGGGGCACGCTGGGTGTGGGTGTGCCATGCTCTCCTACCCCTCCTCAGACCAAATGCCAGAGTGGTGAATGTCTCCAGCTTTGTTAGCAAGAAGGCTCTTGATACATGCAGCCCTCAACTACAAGCCAAGTATGACCTTCATTCTGTATTGAAAGCCCCATTCATGCTTAACTTCATTCTGAATTGTAATCTATTGGGGGAGAAATATACACTATCATTATACATCTGTCTAGCCGCAAACCTGACCAACTTGAATGAAAGCCAGATTCATCCCTTCAATAGCAGCTGTTGCATTAGCAGATATGAAGAACATTGTACTTAAGGCCACAACAGCAACATTTGAAAATCAAATCAGTTTATTATGTCAGTTGCAATTTTTGTCCACACAAATGCTACTACAGATCATACACAACATTTTCAAATTAAACCATTACTGTGATCATCACATGCAGTCATAAACCACTGTATTACAAGGTCTTTTTTCTGTTATGTCTTGAAGGTTCCGTGATACTGAGCTCTCTGAGGAGGAGCTGTGCTTGCTGATGGGGGAGTTTGTTATTGCCGCTCAGCAGGGAAACCATCAGGCCAATGGGTGGCCAAACACAGCCTATGGCACAACAAAGGTAGGGTTCTGTCTGTCCACACAACTATTAAGGGGAAAGGGCAAATGTGACCAGCTGCCTCGATTTGGTCTTATGTAGCAACATTTGACATTTTTATTTTTATTTTTTTTACATTGGATAAAAGTAGCGACTCAGAGCTACAAAATAGTATATCATACACTGTAGTTGAGGAACAATGGGAAAGTAATTCTGCTTTGAAAGTTGATAAACTTGTAACCCCACTTTTAAGAAAATGAGCCTTGAATGTTTTGGTACTCCTACTGGATAGCTCCTCTTTGTCTAAACCTGTTCTGCATCGTTCACACCCTCTTAAGCTTTAGCCCCACCCATCTCTTTAAGGATTCATATGTGAGGCCATGTGCTAAACAAAGTGAGTAAGGTAGTGTAGTAAACAACCAAAGATTTCAAGACTAAAAGTGGTGAAAGTAGTAGCCTAGTGTAACAGTGTTGCTTCCGTCCCTCTCCTCGCCCCTACCTGGGCTTGAACCAGGGACCCTCTGCACACATCGATAACAGTCACCCTCGAAATACCGTTACCCGTCGCTCCACAAAAGTCGCGGCCCTTGCAGAGCAAGGGAAACAACTACTTCAAGGTCTCAGAGCGAGTGACGTCACCGATTGAAACGCTACTAGTGCGCACCGCTAACTAGCTAGCCATTTCACACCAGTTACACTAGTATAAGGGGAAAACTCCAGGTAAAAATGCACTTTATCTAGTCCTTGGCCTATATCCTAATCTGACTTTGAAAGTGTCCAGATAAAAATATTGTATAAATATTATTAGATGATGCTTACCCAGACACTTGTCTAAATTGATGAGTCATGTGAAATAAATGCTATAACTAGAGTGAAGGCAGCAGGAAGTTTACCTCATCTCAATCAGAGACTTGAGGTAAATTGCACAAAAAGATTCTGCCAAATTCACATTGTAAAAGACTCATTGCAACAGAGGATGGTGGAGATATCATCTTTGCTTTTTTTCTTTATATGATTTAATGTGATTCATTTACATAAATAACACTCTGGAGTACTTTCCCTGTAATGAAGGCCTGTTATTTTTTCAAAAAAGTTTAATGATAGTAATGCCTGAGACAGTGATTTACTGGAAACTCTTGTTCAAAGTTGTAACTTAGTTTATTGTATTGAGCCTCTAGGGCAGGGTATCACCAACTGGCGGCCTGATTTTTATTTGGCCCCAACAGTTTTATTTTTGTATTGTTGGACATGACTAAAAACACCAGCAAATCAGCTCTAAGTGATTTTAATTGTGGAAATCTGTTCCAAAGTATTCCTACACATAATAGAGTGGTATGTTTATTAAATTTTTTATTTCACCTTTATTTAACCAGGTAAGCCAGTTGAGAACAAGTTCTCATTTACAACTGCGACCTGGCCAAGATAAAGCAAAGCAGTGCGATTAAAAACAACAACACAGAGTTACATATGGGGTAAACAAAATAAAGTCAAAAATAAAACAGAAAATATATATACAATGTGTGCAAATGTAGCAAGTTATGGAGGTAAGGCAATAAATAGGCCATAGTGCCAAATAATTACAATTAGTATTAACACTGGAATGATAGATGTGCAAGAGATGATGTGCAAATAGAGATACTGGGGTGCAAATGAGCAAAATAAATAATAAAATGGGGATGAGGTAGTTGGGTGGGCTAATTTCAGATGGGCTGTGTACAGGTGCAGTGATCGGTAAGATGCTCTGACAACTGATGCTTAAAGTTAGTGAGGGAGATAAGAGTCTCCAGCTTCAGAAATGTTTGCAGTTCGTTCCAGTCATTGGCAGCAGAGAACTGGAAGGAATGGCGGCCAAAGGAGGTGTTGGCTTTGGGGATGACCAGTGAGATATACCTGCTGGAGCGCATACTACGGGTGGGTGTTGCTATGGTGACCAATGAGCTAAGATAAGGTGGGGATTTGCCTAGCAGTGATTTATAGATGACCTGGAGCCAGTGGGTTTGGCGACGAATATGTAGTGAGGACCAGCCAACAAGAGCATACAGGTCACAGTGGTGGGTAGTATATGGGGCTTTGGTGACAAAACGGATGGCACTGTGATAGATTACATCCAATTTGCTGAGTAGAGTGTTGGAGGCTATTTTGTAAATGACATCGCCGAAGTCAAGGATCGGTAGGATAGTCAGTTTTACGGGGGCATGTTTGGCAGCATGAGTGAAGGAGGCTTTGTGCGAAATAGGAAGCCGATTCTAGATTTAACTTTGGATTGGAGATGCTTAATGTGAGTCTGGAAGGAGAGTTTACAGTCTAACCAGACACCTAGGTATTTGTAGTTGTCCATATGTGATCATAAACAAATGTAAGAAAGGTTTGAAATGATTGTTTTATGTTATATCTGTTTGAGCTTCTTGTGATCAATTTGCAGTCTACAAATTATTTGTAATTATGTTCCTGCCCCCTGACCATCCGCCCACGGTTAAATCTAGTTAAGGGATGGGCAACTCCAGTCCATGGGGGCCGGAGTGGTGTCAGACTTTTTCTCCATCCCTAGCAAACACTGCTGATTAAACTAATTGCATTCTAAACTGAAGATCATGATTAGTTTACTATTGGAGTCAAGGTGTGTTAGCACGGGCTGGGGCAAAACTGTGACACCAATCAGGCCCCCGAGGACTAGAGTTGCCCTTCCCTGATCTAGTTAATGATGCTGTACGGGGCACCAAAGACCAATCAGAGACTCGCCTAGAATAATATTTTCTCAAAAGGCAGTCTTTTTATTTCTTACAGAAATGCTTCAAAATAATGAAATTATTAGATTAACTTTGGACAAATGTCTCTGCATTCAGGTGGAGAAAATAAAGTTGTTTTGTCATGTGTTCACCCCTGAGGATGAGAGAGACCCCTTTCATTCAAGCTAACTTATCCTCCTCTCCCTTATCCACTTGTATTGTGCAAATCACCTTCTAATTGGAGGAGTAGTATTCCTACCAGATGGAATGCACTGAGAAGAGGGAAACAGGAAAAGAAGTGTGGCGCAGGTGTCTGCAAGCACAAAGACTCTCGCATGCACTCAACCTTGAGTGAGAGCCAACCAGCCCTATTACATTGACCTGACATACCATAACATAAAGTCATTCAAGCTGCCTGTTGAGATGGTGACATATTCAGAGTGCGAATTGAGACATGAGCCTCCCTAAATGCAACAAAGTCAAATTTAATAATGCTAATTTAACCATTATCCTATTTGTTTTAAAATGCAATGTGCACTGCTACAGTGGTAAATATTAAAATAAAAACATATTCCAAATGAAACGAACACCCCCACCTCTGTGTCCATAGCCACGGGAAGTAGGGGTGTTGCAGCACCGCCTGATAAATGTTAATCATTTTGCCAAAATGAGGCTATTAAAGCTTCTAAAACATTGCTGTGGATGAAGTTTTATCACAAGCACTTACAGTTGGGAAGGCTGCAATTTGGGCAGCATGTGCCCCAAATATAGAACAGCTTGTTGCGTTGTGGCCATAGATATAATCCATAGAAGGATTTTGGAACCTCTAACCCTGGCACTTTGACTGTTAAACTCATGGGTACACTAGCAATGGCTGCCAGTCCTAAACTTGAATGGGAACTACCATCTATGGGGTATATTGCTATGGTTGGTATTACACTGTATTCTAGTCAATGCCACTCTGACATTGCTTGTCCTAATATTTATATATTTCTTAATTCCATTCTTTTACTTTTAGATTTGAGTGTATTGTTGTGAATTGTTAGATACTACTGCACTGTTGGAGCTATGAACAAGCATTTCGCTACACCTGCAATAACATCTGCTAAATATGTGTATGTGACCAATAACATTTGATTTGATTACCATGGTTGGTTGCGACTGTCAGTTTGCCTTTCACAAATTTCAAAATACAATCGTGAGGAAAAAGTAGGCCTACCGTTTGCAAAACAAATGCCTACTGCTGAAAATAGTAATCTGTCTGTAGAAGCACTTTTTTTTCTTCAACTTTTGAGTGAACAGCACTGTTTTTCAAAGTATTCTGCCTAGTTTATCTTTAGGTATTGGCATGATTTAATTGGGTGTGTCAGTGTCACTGGAAAGTTTATTTTGAAGCCTATATATTATATATCAGGGTTTCCGTTAGGAAAATTTGGCGCCAGACAAGTGACTGGGAAGATTTTAATTTATTGGACATTTGAGAAATGTACTGGTCATCCATATGCATTTGGTGCATAACCCATTTAGTGCGTCCACCAACGCAGCCAGCGCCATCAATAAACAACGAGGGATATTGGCCAAATGAAGCACATTTATAAGTCCTTAAAAACAGCCTATAACAAATTACAAAAACACTATTCCTTGTGTTTTGATGTGTAGCATATGCAGAACTTCATAGCCCATTGTTTTATTGTTTTTTTAATTTCATTAAACAATAAGGGACAGTTCGAAATGTACTGGGGTACGGGGGGTGGTCCAAAACACTGTATATAGACATATGACATTTTAAATGTCTTTATTCTTTTGGAACTTGTGTGAGTGTAATATTTACTGTTCACTTTTTGTTTATTTCACTTTTTAAACATATGTTTCCCATGCCAATAAAGTCCCTTGAATTGAAATTGAATTGTAGCCTCAGTGGCGCTGCCCATGCTGTCACAGATGCTATAATGGCACAGATATAAAGATGAGTCCTCTATCCATCTCTATGTATGAAACCAATCAGTATGTCAAGCAAAGCTCTTAACGCTGCCTGAAAATATTGAATGGCATGCTAACTGCTCCACTGACAACGAATTGACAACGAATGAGTTCCACCGGAACGCAAAGAGTTTGATGCATCTGGCGGACATGAGCCGTTCATTTCTATTCAGTTGAATAGCCATAAATTCGGCGTCTGAACTGTGCGTAAATAGGCTAACCTAACCTCTCCCGTCTTATTTCAATATAACATGCCCTCTCCCTCCCATTGTATCATATGTGGGT